AAAAGCAGGCCACCCCCCCCCCCCACCACCACCACTTTCCATGGCTTTTACCTTGTTTTCAGGAGAAAAACCAACCAATTTTAGAATCAATCGAAGTGCAGATATTTAAAAAGCTGGTCATCAGCACGGACTGGCATTACGGCTCACTGTGATCCTTTTCTCTGAAGATTACTCCCTGGCAGTTGTAAAAAGCAGCTGCCATCTTCCTTCCACCCTTCCTTCCCACCTCCGTCCTTCCTGTAGGGCCAGAGGAAGCAGGCGCCTTGGAAGAGCAGCCTGTTCTTGAGTGAGATGTTCTCAGGCATGTCTTCAGGCGCTAGTGGAAAGATACTGACATTTCTGCAGTTATTAACTGTGCATAAGGATTCCTGACACTTGGAGGGAAATAATTCTGCTCTCAAGTGATGAAAATGTTTAATTATATTTTCACATCCCCCCCCCCCTATATTTTTAAATTCTGGAGATTTATCTCTTTCTGGTGACCTGCCTTGAGGGTACCAAACAGCATTGTAACACTAAGCCTATGACTCTGAGCTTTCTGCTGATGCATTTTTCTCTAGGCATTTCCAATTCAGGGTACCTCTAGGGTACTTCCCCATCCTCAAACTTCACAGAAAGATAGCCTGTGCATCTTTTGCAAACACATCTACTTGTCTCTCTCTAAATGGGGAAGATGCTGCCTTCTGAATGGAGAAGCAAAACCAAGTTGATGAATCTCAGATTCCCAAAGAAGAGTCAGTTTAGGAACCCTTAGGAAAAATGGTCTCATTTTCACATTTTCAAATAAAAGGGTACCAAATAAGTGTATTCAAAAAAAGGATGCTTTGTCTTCTGTTATTTTGCAAGAGATTCACAGAAGGGAGAGCTTTCTAGAAAGGTGTAGGGAAACCTAAGGAGACAATGCCAGAGCTTAGTGTTTGTAATTCCTCAGGAAGAGGAACATGCAAATGCTATTTGCAGGGAACAAAGATAAACTCATATCCTTGGACCCCTTTAGTCAACTGCCTTCCTGTCCCATCCCTCCCATCACTTAAAGATGTAATAAAGTTCACTGTGCCGTCCGGCTGGTGTGGCTCAGCAGTTGAGCATCCATCCAGGAACCAAGAGGTTGATTCCCGGTCATGGCACATGTCCAGGTTATGGGCTTGATCCCCAGTAGGGGGCATGCAGGAGGCAGCTGATCAATGATGTTTCTATTTCATTAGTGTTTCTCTCTATTCCTCTCCCTTCCTCTCTCTCTAAAAATCAATAAAAGAAATAAAATAAAAAATGTAACAAGGTTCTCTTGGGTTCCCAAATAAAAAAGATTTATGAAGAGAACAGCATGGCCAACACCAAGATAGCCCAGTTAATGCAAATTCCCAGTTACCATTGATTAATTTGAAATATGATGCTTTAGGAATTTATAATAAGAAATGGATGGATTGGTTTCAACTTGGAAATAATTCTGTACCTGCGGAATTAAAAATATGAGCATCACAGAGTCATTTTCAACCTAATGTACTAACATCAGGAAAGCACTCCAACCAGAGGAATCAAGTCGGTAGCCAGGTCCTCTTCCGCACGTGGATAGAGCCCTGGCTCTCAAAACAGGAATATACAGGCTTCACTTGTCAGGAATGAGTCTCCTTAGTTAAACGGTCTTTAATTAGTTTTCCCAAAGCATAAATCACCGGTCAGGATAATTTAAATTGAAACAGTTGATTTGGCTGTGGAGTTATTTACCTAAATTTCCTTACTCCTCTTATTTAAAATGAAGAAGGGAAAAAAAAGTCCTTTCCAGAAACAAGTCTGAACTGAATGACTCCTGCAGGTGTGTGATGCAGAAACCTGGGAGGACAAGGGTGTCAGGTGGCAGAAATGTTCCACTCTAGAGACTTTACACATTTGTGAGACAGTGTACTTAAAACCTCTCACCAACATGACTGTGTGGAAAGCAGGATGTCACTGAATATTCTCTCTCCTGTTAGGCTGGAGCTGTACCTCTGAGAAAGGCTTGCATTGTGTAGGACCAGAACAAGTACTGACAAGACACATGGTGTAGCTGGGCATCCATCTCCCAGAGCACAGAGGAAACGGTGGGGCCTGGGACTGTGTACCAAGGGAGCTGTGTCCTCCAGGGGAGAAATCACCTTTAGAAGTTGAACCCAGAACAACAATGTGTCCCGCTGGATGGGGGATGAGGACTATAGTTCTGAAGCTCCAGTTCCGAGTTCCCAGATGCTCTAGGCTGTGGAAGCTTCTGCCCAGAGCTGAAGCATATGCTGTCTAGAGCTCTGAGGGCCAAATGGAGCAAAACTTTCTTCATACAAGTACAAACAGAAGCAGCCCAGGGCCTGCGTACCCTGCTCATGAATCTTGAAAACATCTCTACATTATGGACCAGAGAATCTTCTAGGTGTCCACATAAGATTTGGTTATTCCCAATTCACATGTCCAAATTGATCACATGGTGAATTTTACTCTAATTTCAGAATCAGAGAGGTCTGCATGGGAGCCAGGCTGAAGGTTGCTAGACCACTTGTGATGATACATAAACAAATTTGGTGCACAGATTTTAATGTGTAAGCAATACCTGGCAGGATGTGCTAAAACTACTGGGGAAAAAAAATCCGTTTACGTTACTTAGAATTGTCCAACTGACTATATGGCACCTCAGTCTGAACTGCTGGACGTGGTCAGCTTAACCTTTCTCATTTGAGGCACCTGCAAGTAATAAAATATACATTTACGAATTTTCTTTTACTTCTTCGAGTCCAAATTATCAAAACTTCGAGTTTGTCATCCATTGTTGGTTTAGATGAAACTTTTCATTGGCTTTTTGAGATGCTCTCATGTTTTATTCAGATTAAATAAGCTGCCTTCAAGGCCAGTTAGAGTTTGTGTATCACACCCATACACCTGTGACAGAAGCACAGTGACAGTCCCTGTGACTGAAGTATAGTCCCCTCTGAAGTGGTTATCTCCTCGGCTTGTCCCCATGGGCTGGAATGGAACCCGAAGGTCATCTGATACCATAGCTTCATTTTCAGATGGAGACCAAGGCTTAGAGGTGTGAAATGGCTCACTCATAACTGGCCTGACCCTGAGCCAGCCAGGTCTTGAACTCAACACTAATTACTTAAGATGAGCATTGGAATCAAAGGATCTTCTGATTCCTAAACATCGCACAAACGTGTCTATTTATTCTTGCCTAGTTATTGTTGTACCCTGTGTAATTTTAATGAAATGCTTGCCATAAGCCTGGCCTCAGATGCAGGTCCAAAAGGGCAGGAGATGGATTATATGGCCAGTTGAGAAAACCATAAACTCTCCAGTTTACTCAGCAAATGAGGGACAATCTTTGATTCCTTTTGAATAAATGACCTGTAGTTAATTACTATCTCCCAGTTTTTATCCTTTAATCTCTAGGTTTACATTCTCTAGTAGAAATTGCCCCTAAACCTATGCCTGTAATCCCAACTGCAGACAAAAGCTAGTCTTTCTGTAGCAATTAAAACATTTTCTCATTTTTTCCATGCTAAACTATGCTATCTAATTAGTGCAATAATAGTTTTCCCCCTTGTCAGGATAATCTCATCTTTAAATATACTTTTCAGGTTGAAGAGCTCTGTTTTGCAGGCATATTCTAGAAGACTAAATGTAAACATGCTTTGTTACCCATTCATTTGTGATTTCAATCATTATTATAACTGCATCTTCTGCAGCACAGACACTGAATTGTACGTTATGTATTTTCCTAGGCACATTAGATAAGTTTTTAAACCTGTAAAAACGGCCGGGACTGGTTTGGCTCAGTGGATAGAGCGTCGGCCTGTGGACTGAAGGGTCCCGGGTTCAATTCCGGTCAAGGGCATGTACCTTGGTTGCGGGCACCCCCCTGGTAGGGGGTGTGCAAGAGGCAGCTGGTCGGTGTTTCTCTCTCATCGACGTTTCTAACTCTCTGTTCCTCTCAATTCTTCTCTGTGTAAAATCAATAAAAATACGTTTAAAAAAAAAAAAACCTGTAAAAACGATCATGTTGCAAACTTAAAATAAACTGAGCTACATAGTACATTCCGTAACTTCTTTTAATATTGACAGCAGCTTCATTTAAATTTTGAAAAGCAAATACCTTTAATAAATTTATGTGAATCATTATATATTTTGATAAAACTATTGTACAGGAGTGTGTACATATATAAATCTGTAGGTAAAATTATATACATTTCAATATATTCTGCATATATATTTTTCTACTTACATTTTTCTCTTTATGAAAGCAAAGCAGTTTTACTGTATATAAATGTGCAATGCTACATTAAGTCCTGAGTAATTTAGGGATCATTAATAAGCTACTGCAAATTCTAGGTTTCCAGCGAAAGATCCAGTAGACTTTATGACAAAAATGTGAAATTATGTTTAAAAATATGCCTTCAGCTATGCATGTTGTGATTAGTGGAGAAAGCTTGAGAATGCACAGTAGCCATTTACATTTGGGAAAAACTTCATGAATATTCAAGATGAGGCAAGTATCTGATTTGTATGGGTTTATAGAAGTTTTAAGTGACTTCACCTACATCCAGTTGGTCAGGCATGGAAGACTCCAGTTGTGATTGTACTGAAAATCCCTTTTGCAGAATTTGAAATTCTGTGTAAACATCAGTGTTTAGGTTTTATACAAAAATTCTGACTCAAACCAGATGAAAGTCATTTAAGGGCAGTCTGGTGAGCCACTCACTTTGGGAGGTCCCATGTTGGCTTGTCTCAGAGAACCCAAGATACTCAAGCCACATCCATCTCACCGCGGGAGAAGGAAGCACTATGGGGGAAAGGCCACGATTCAACCACAGTGGGACAGTAACAGTTACCCGTCAGAGACATCATCAGCAAGCAAAACCACCAGCCCCACACTCAGGCACTGGGTACGGACTGGAGAGGAGGAGGGAGGCTGCCCCGTACCCGAAGGCCCACTTCGACGAGAAGGCACTGCAGTGGTGGTTCCTCTGTCACCCCCGGCTCTACCCAGTTCCATGGCTGCTGTAGTCAAAGACCCCTTTCTTGAAGAATGGAGAGAACTCACAAATGGTGTGCTTCGAGAGCATCAGCCCAACTTTGTTGATGTGTAGGGGGGACGTGGCTGATTGGAGCATCACGCTGAAAAAGTCCCTGAGGTATTTCTGAGGAAGAGACAAGAGTTAAAAACCTGGTCAGGACGTTGTTGGGAGTAGGAATGTCCAGAAACAACTTTCCATCCAGCTGTCGCCGTCATTAGACATTTCACCTGGGAAATCTCCTCAGCTGCCTCTGCTGTCCTCAGGCCATGACATCCCTTATTCAGGGGGCGGGTCTTTGGCTTTGAGCAGATTCAACAGCAACAGCCTCACTGCAGACTCACTCAGAGGCGCCAGCAACACTGTCACTAGCTGGTACCTTTTTCCTTTTTAGAGTAATTTCCCCAGACTTACTCATTAAGTAGGCAGATGACTAAAAGCGGGGAGAGGCGAGTAATCTGCACCATGCTAAATGTGCTGCTGCCCTGGGGTTTTAAATGGGACAGTCAGCACATGCCCTGGATTGTTTTTATAAATAAGGAAAAGAAGTACTGGGGACTAGAGGGTCAATCCCTCCTAATATTTACAGATCATTTTGCAAATCCTGTAATCATCCATGAAAAGAAATTCTGACTATGATTAATTGCTCTGGACCCTTTCCCTCCCCTGCCCCCCGCTGCTCTTGTCACTCCCAGCATCCTCCGCCGTGCACAGCAAAGCCTGCCGGAGACTAGGACCGGAGCTCCTGGGGATAGAATCAGGTGTGGGTGCTGGCAGGAGGCATTCAAGGAAAAGAGGACACTAAAAACAGTTACACTATTTCAGGTCAGGCAAATCTTATCCACAACAGAAAACAGAGGCAGATGGTGCGGGTGGGAGGAAAAGGGGAAGAGGGGGTGATTAGGACTAAACCTTTATTACTGTCTCAGCTTGTTTAAAAAATATAAACAGTCCTGTCACAAACTTAAAAATTAAACATCATAATTACAGGCTTTGAGTAACAGAAAGAATGTGTCTAAGCAACATGGCCTAGGCCTATACCAGTGATCTGCCCTATAGGAGAAGCAGGGTGTCCGCAGACACTTTTACTGTCACTGAGGGGGAAGATAGGGAAGGGCAGCGATACAGCTAACATCCTACAACACACAGGACAGAATCCTTGGGCTCTAAAAGTCAATAGTGCCCCAGTTGAGAAACCTTGATCAGAGCAAGCTGAATTAATCTACCTCCGTGAATTGCCAACCTAGAATTTATTTCTGTAAGAAGACACTTCGCTTAAGGAAAATTTGTTAGCTACCCTCTTAAAAAGAGTAACAAGGATGCCCTGCCAGTGTGGTTCAGTTGGTTGGGCATAGTTCCATGCACCAAACAATTGCCTGTTTTGATTCCCAAGCCCAGGTTGTAGGCTTGGTCCAAGTGGAGGCACGTGCAGGAGGCAGCCAATGGTGTTGCATCTTTCTCTTCCTTCTCTCTCCCCTCTCTCTAAAAATCAATAAAAATATTTTTTAAAAGAGCTTATATAGTCAATAACTGTCCTTATTTTTTAAAAAGGAGAGAAAACAGTAACAAGGATGACTAATAACTAACATTTGTATAGTAACACAGTTTCTAAAAATCTTCTCACAGATGTTTTTTTAGGCTTTATGGAGGTATAACTGGCTCACAAGACCTGTACAATTTTCAAACATGCAAACTGTTGAGTCCTGACATGTGTACAACTGTGAAACCACCACCAAAGCAAGATAAACATTTGCACTGGCTCCAAAATGTTAAGTCACCTAATCCGATGGTGTCATCTACTGTGCCTGGAATTACCTCTTATTACTATAATACCAATTTTCAGGTGAGGAAGGTGTTGTAAGGAAGGTGAGCAAAGCTGGGAGTCAAAAAAGGAGGAGTGTTTCAACTCAGACTCTGTTTACCGTTCAGCATCCTAACATACTGGTCTCATGATAATCTCTCCCGAAAGTTCTGGAAACAGCCATCAGGTTAAGGTAAGAAGGTGCAAAACCAACTGCTAGAAAATGAAGATCTTACTCCAGTACTTATTTGCATCAGAGGCAAAACGGAACCTGACCTCAGTTTTTCTGGGGGAGGGAAGCTGAGAGTGAATATCCACTTTAGAGAGACCCGAATTCCATCCAACATCATTTCTAGAAATAACACAGCCCGCACCTGACTGCTTTTGGAAAACAGGAGTGAAATGATTAAGGAGAAAGATGAGGAGCTTGTCCATGGTGCCTGGAGCTGCAACATCGCAGTTTACAGCCTGAGGAGACCTGGGATGCCACACAGGTGTAGCCTCAGTAGTTCCTTCACGGTCCCCAGCTCCTGCGTCAGGTTCCCCGCAGGTTACATTAACTGCAGGCTAACGCTCTAGCAAAGCTGCCTTCAAGATGAATTCTAACAGAATAGAAGGCTTTGAAAACTGGGAACAGATGCTGTCTCAACATTTGTCATAATTAGTTCCCAGAGCAGGGGTTCCTTAAAGGGCCAATAAAATCTGAAGGGTATAATGAAGAGAGAAGTGAAAGTTAAGGATATAAATAAAAGAAAAAGAGAAAGTATTGGAGACACCTTCCCTATGAAGGGCTCCACCATAGGAAGGGAACAGTAAACCAGCTGCAGGTAATGCCTTTTATTTAAATGAGCTCATTAGCATGCCTCCAGGAAAACTCCAGAAGGAAGGATCTGCCTCCCTTGTAAACATTACAGAGAGTTTTTTCTTGCTTGGTGGAATTCAGCAGTTTTGGCTCCCTTTATAAGGACTGCTTTCTTGCTTAAAGAAATGCTCTGAGTATGAAGTATTCTCTGCGGAGCCTCAAAGTGCTCTAACTTGTATGAGGTGAGGCTTTCGTGGTTGGCAGTGTCCAGAGCCACATGCTTGAAATGGGTTGGGCCAGGGGTCGGCAAACTCATTAGTCAACAGAGCCAGTTGATTATTATATCAACAGTACAACGATTGAAATTTCTTTTGAGAGTCAAATTTTTTAAACTTAAACTTCTTCTAACGCCACTTCTTCAAAATAGACTCGCCCAGGCCGTGGTATTTTGTGGAAGAGCCACACTCAAGAGGCCAAAGAGCCTCATGTGGCTTGCAAGCTGCAGTTTGCCAACCACGGGAAACTCTTTCTGGTGAATGATGAAAACAAAGTATTAGATTTAGAGCTGAGGACAGAAGATAGAACTGAAATTCCAGAAGGTCACAGAGAGCATCTCATTCTCCTCGGTAATCCCCCATCATTCCTGGCACACCGGCCCTCCTCACACTCCCTCAAGGGTAACTGCTATCCTGGTGCCTGGCACCTTCCATTAGTTTCACCAGTGTTTGAACTTCATATTGAGGGACTCACACCGCATACACTTTGTGTCTGGCTTCCACTGCTTATGATGTTCGTGATTCATGCACACTGTTCGGTGTAGCTGCAGATTGTTCACTATCACTGCTACCAGGTGTACTGGTTAATAATGCGGATTTTGTCAAAGAAATCAAAGAAAACATGATAAGTTCAAGAGAAACATCATATTCAAAATAATGTCCATCACTAGCTACACATTTCCCCCATCTTTCAGGTAATTTGTGGATACCGTCCCAATAGAACTTTTCTTGTTTTGAGGCAAACCATTGAGACCCAATTTTCCACTCTTCGTATGTTTTGAAGTGTTGCTTAGAAAGTGCGTGTGCCATCAATCAGAACAAGTGGTAATTTGAAGGAGCAAGGTCTGGTGACTGCAACGGATGGGTTAATACTTCCCAGGTAAGATCTTTTAACGTTTCTTTAACTGGTTTTGAAGGGTGTGAGAGTGTCTTTGCTATGTCTTCTGGCCCATTCTGATCATTTCACAATCAAAGTGTGTTTCAACATGATTATTTGTTGTCAGTAGCAATCAGTATTAATGATTTCACCTGGTTTTAGAAGCTCATCATACACCACACCTTTCTGATCCCACCAAACACAGAGCATTGTCTTCTTTCCCAAGTGATTTGGCTTTGCAGCCGATGTTGATGGTTGACCTGGATCAACCTATGATTTTTGTGCACTTGGGATTCTCAAAATAAATCAACTTTTCATTGCCAGTCACAAGTCGATGCAAAAAAGATTTTCTTTCATGCTGTTGAAGCAATATTTTACTGATGACTTTTCGGTTTTCCATTTGTCTTTCATTCAGTTGATTTCGTTCAGAAGATTTTCCTTCCTTTAAAAATTTTCCCATTGCTTGTAAACAATTGGAAATTGTTTGCCGAACGTTTAATCTTTCTGAAAGTTGTTTTTGAGTTTGACATACATCTTCATCAATAATGCTTGTAATTGTTGGTCTTCAAACTTTTTAAGTTGACCTGGATGTTCTTTGTCTTTCACATCAAAACCGTCACTTTTAAAGCATTTAAACCAGCATTCACAAGTAGTTTGAGATGGAGCATGTTCACCATAAGTTTCCTGAAGTATATGATAACTTTCAGCAGCACTTTTCTTCAAAATAAAATAACGAATTAAAACTTCCCTCAAATGCTCTTTTTTTTTTTTTTTTTTTTTTGGCACGAAATTCAACATTTTTAAGTGTAAAAATACCTATGATGTTAACTCCTCAGAAAATTTGACATATGAAGTTGTGAAGCTTGCTGTCAATACAACAAAATAGCATACATATCAAATTGCATATATATCAACATGTGTTACTCCATCTATTGAAAAAAGTCTGCATTATTAACTGGTATACCTGGATGGTATTCCAGTGCAAACATCCCACTAACTTTAGCAGAGAGCATACAACCATGGATAATTTGGTTCTTTTGTCTGAGCTCTTCTTCAACAACAAAATCTACTTCCATATAATGGTGGCTGGTGAGCAAGTTTATTACTATTCCTCAAAAATCACACCCCAAAAAAACTTAGGGTTTCGGGCTCAATCCAAGATTAGCCAATGTATTAGTTCTCTATTTTATAGCAGAGGCCTGATGCACAAAATTCACGCAAGACTAGGCCTTCCTTCCCCCAGCTGCTGGCACCAGCTTCCTTCTGGCACCTGGGAGCTGGGCTTCCCTCACAGCCCAGCTTCGTTTGGTAAGTCGTCCGGAAGGATGTCCAGTCTAATTAGCATATTATGCTTTTATTATTATAGATACT